CTTGGAGCGTCGGAAGCTCGAAAAGGCGAGGACCCCAAAACACATTGAAAACACCGAATGGAAATCAATGGTTTGGGCATATTGCAGCCCTCCTGGGAGACTGCTCGGAGCGCTCTTGGGGCCTGTTTGAGGCCTCTCGGGCCGTCCTGGGGCCATCTTGGGCGTTCTGGAGCGCTCTTGAGCCGTCTTGGAGGCCGTTCTGTTGCTGCTGCTAGTGCTGGCGGTGGCGGTGGTGGTGGCGGTGGTGGTGTTGCTGCTGCTGGCGTTGGTGCTGGTGGTGTTGGTTCTCGAGCTGTTGGTGCTGCTGCTGGTGCCGTTGCTGGTACCGTTGTTTCTGTTTGTGGTGGTGGCAGTGTTAATGTTGGTGCCGTTGCTGGTGTTGATGCTTCTCGTGCTGCCCGGCCGTGGCGACGAAGAGGCCCCCCGAAGGCTAACCTCGAGGCTCGAGGTTAGACCTTCGACGTGCACTTCTCCCCCCCGCCTCCCTCCCTCTCCTCCGTCGCGCCCCTCTCCTCCGTCGCCCCCCCCACCACTCGGGGTCCGCCCCGCCCCACTTTGGGGGGAAATATGAGGAGGAATCGGAGAAAATGGAGGAGAGTGGGGTGGGGCAGGGACATGAGGGAGGGAGGGACGGATAGAAGGAGGTGGGGACGGAGGATGATGAGGCCGACCACTTCGAGGAGGATGGGGCCAGTCGTGCTTGACATCCCACATCATACACGTTGCCGAACGCATACACATGAGGGCCGTTTGGGGATCGGTGATGTATGTGCGGTCTTTCCATTATTCAGATTCTTGGTTGTGCTTACAGAGGACACGCAACCGACAACCTCTCAGAATCCACGCTGGCTCCCAGAGCCCCCCACACATTTCCAGGACCATCCCAAGCTCATCCTCATCCAATCGAAATTGGAAGAAAACGCAGTGAATGATCCAAGGGTGAGGGACGCGAGAAAAACTGAATGTTGGGGATCTGGGCAGGGGGCATTTCGGAGAACTCATGGATACTTCTGGGAGTCTCTTCTGGGAGCATCAAATAGCTTTTCAGGAGGAGTACTTGTGACCCTTTTGGGAGCCCTTGAAGGCTTCTGGAAAGCTGTTTGGGAGCTCTTGGAGGCCTCGTGGGGTCTTGGGAGCCCTTGGAAGTTTCGTGGGAGCTTCTTGGGAACTTTGGGAGGCCTCGTGAATGGCTCTGGATGGGCCCTCTTGGTGGTCTCTTTGCGGGGTCTGCCTGGCCTCTTGGGGGCTTCCTGGGAGCTTCCTGGGGGTCTCTTGGGGGCCTCTTGGGGTTTTATTGCAGCCCGTTGGGGGCTTATTGGGGCTCTCTTGGGGGCTTCGTGGGGCAACTTGGGGGCTTGTAGGGGCCTTTCGGGGGCGCGTTTGGGCGGGGGGCTCAACATGTCCGTTCAGGTTGCCCCTGTGGACCTCCATCATGGGGCCGTCTTGGGGCCTTTTGGACCGTCTTGAGGGTTTATTGGGCCTTCTTGGAGCGCTCTTGGGCCGTCTTTGAGCGGTCCTGGGCTGGCTCTCGGTCGCTCGGCCCCTTGGGTGCCCCTTCCTTGTATGGTTTTGATTGTTTTCGGTTGTCCGTCGGTTGTTTCGGTCGTACCTGGCCCCTGGGCTGGCTTTCGGTCGCTCGGACCCCTGGGGCGCCCCTTCCTTGTATTGTTTTGGCCCCTTGGCCTCCGGGCCGCCGGGAGCTTTCACGTTGGTCGGCCGTTGGCCCGACGCTTCATGAGTGTTCACGGAAGCGTAAGTCGTCGACGTTGGTCGGCCGTCTGCCCGACCAACGTGGGGGTGCAGACAGGTTGGGGGGCCTGGTCCATTAGTCTCCACCCTTGCCATAACCATGTGGCGTGCTTGGCCCCAGGGGGCTCGGCGAGGGCCTCCGGGGGCCTCCGGGCCGCCGGGGGCTTTCGCGTTGGTCGGTCGTTTGCCCGACCAACGCGGCCCCTGGGGTGCCCATTCCTTGTCATGGTTTTGGTTGTTTTCGGTCGTCCGTCGGTTGTTTTTGTCGCCCTTGGCCCCTGGGCTGGCTCTCGGTCGCTTGGCCCCTGGGGTGCCCCTTCCTTGTCCTGTGTTGGTTGTCCGTCGGTTGTTTCGGTCGCCCCAGGCCCCTGGGCTGGCTCTCGGTCGTTCGGCCCTTGGGGCGTTGGGGTGCCCCTTCTTTGTCTGGTTTTGGTTGTTCTCGGTTGTCCGCTGGTTGTTTCGGTCGCCCCTGGTCCTTGGTTTGACACGCTCTGGTTTGAGGTGTTCTGGCCCGTTTCGCTGGAGACTTCCTCGCATCTCTGGGTTCCAAGATGTGGCTCGCGAGGTGTTCAGGCCCGTTTTGATTGAGACATCCTGGGGTCTATGGGTTCCGATATGCTCAGACTTGAGGTGCTCTGGCGCGTTTCCCCCAGGACATCCTCACGATTCATTGTTCCAGATGTTGTTCGCGAGTTGGTCGGGCCCGTTTCGCTCGGGACATCCCCGGAATCTGGGAAAATCAATACAGTTCAGATTTCCCGAAAACAGACACAACCAACAGACAATCGAGAACAACCAAAACCAAACAAGGAAGGGCACCCCCAGGGGCCGAGCGACCGAGAGCCAGCCCAGGTGCCAGGAGCGACCAGAACAACCGACGGACAACCGAGAACAACCAAAACCAAAACGGGAAGGGGCACCCCAGGGGCCGAGCGACCGAGAGCCCGCCCAGGAGCCAGGGACGACCAGAACAACCGACAGGCAACCGAAAACAACCACAACACAGGACAAGGAAGGGGCACCCCAGGGGCCGAGCGACCGAGAGCCAGCCCAGGGGCCAGGAGCGACCGAAACAACCGAATGACAAACGAAAACAACCAAAACCAGACAAGGAAGGGGCACCCCCAGGGGCCGAGAGCCAGCCCAGGGGCCAGGAGCGACCAGAACAACCGACGGACAACGGACAACAACCAAAACCAGATAGGGAAGGGGCGTCCCAGGGGCCTAGCGACCGAGAGCCAGCCCAGGAGCCAGGGACGACCATAACAACCGACGGACAACCGAAAACAACCAAAACCAGGCAGGGAAGGGGCACCCCAGGGGCCGAGCGACCGAGAGCCAGCCCAGGGGCCGCGTGTGACCGAAGCAACCGACAGACAACCGAACACAACCAAAACCTGACAAGGAAGGGGCACCCCCAGGGGCCGAGCGACCGAGAGCCAGCCCAGGGGCCAGGAGCGACCAGAACAACCGACGGACAACGGACAACAACCAACACCAGATAGGGAAGGGACGCCCCAGGGGCCGAGCGACCGAGAAGCGTGACGTTATGCGCGCATCGCGCTTCGCGAGCCCCTCGCCTTGTCCTGGGGGGGTTCGGCGCAAAAGCGTGAAGTTATTCACGCTTCACGCTTCACGCAGCGTGAAGCGTGAAGTTAGGTGCCTTTGATTCGATGTTTCTGCCTCCGCGGCGTCGGCGACGGCCCAAGAACGGCCCAAGAGGCTCCCAAGAGGTTTCCACAAACAGCACGAGAGGGCCCCAAAAGGCGCCCAAGAGGGCCCCAAGACGGCCCCAACAGGGGGACCACGAACCGAAAAGTTTAGCCTTTCGCCCCAAGAAGCTCACAGGAGGCCCCAAGCGGCCCCCCAAGGGGCCCCGGGAGGCCAACATCATTGATTTCCCATCGGGAAACATAAATTTTTAGCATACACGGCTTTTCGGCTTTCACTGCGTTGGCGACGGCCCAAGAGGCCCCCAAGACCCCCCAAGGCGGCCCAAGAGGCTCCCAAGAGGCCACCAAAACGGCCCACGAGGGCCCCAAGACGGCCCAAGAGACGCCCAAGACGGGCCAAGAGAGCCCCAAGACGGCCCCCAGAGGGGGACCACGAACCGAAAAGTCTAGTTTTTCGCCCCGAGGCGCTCCCAGGAGGCCCCCAAGGGCCCCCAAGAAGCCCCAAGGGCCCCCAAGGAGCCCCAAGAGGCGTCCCAAGAGGCGTCCCAAGAGGCCACCAGGAAGCCAAAATCACTGGTGTCCTACGCTGCTTTTCTGCTTTCACGGCATTGAAGACGGTCCAAGAGGCCCCCAAGACCGCCCCAAGACGGCCCAAGAGGCTCCCAAGAGGCCCCCAAAACGGCCCGAGAGGGCCCCAAGACGGCCCAAGAGGCGCCCACGACGGCTCAAGAGGGCCCCAAGACGGCCCCAAGAGGGGGACCACGAACCGAAAAGTGTAGCTTTTCGCCCCAAGAAGCCCCCAAGAGGCCCCCAAGAAGCCCAAAAGGCCCCCAAGAGGCCCCCAAGAGGTCCCCAAAAGGGCTCCAAAAGGGCCTTGATAAAACCCCCAAGAAGGCGCAGAGATGCCAAATAAAGAGCGATCGGTAACTCAAAGAGCTCTTCACACCAAGGCTCCCAAGAGCGAGTGGTGACGTAAACAAGCTGATTAGACCAAGGCTCCCAGCAGAGAGTGGTGACGTAACACATTCCTGACACCAAGGCTCAGCCAAGGCTCAGGAACGGGCGGCAACGCAACAATCTCTGAACACCAAGGCTCCCACGAGCGAGGGTTGACGTAACAAGCTCTCAACGCCAAGGCTCCCAGTACGAACGGTGGTGTGAGTAATTTCGGTTTCTGTTTCTGAAGCGCTCTTTCCGTTTCTGTGCCAGCCCAGGTTGACAAGGCGGCGGCAAGGGGCAACCGAATTGATTCCAGCTCCGCGCTCCAGAGTCAAACCGCGGGTGTCCTTGGTCCTTGCCGCACTGCGTGCTCACCTGGCAATTTCCAGACCTTCCAATGCGAAGAGCGTTATCGGGAGGCGCCAACGATACATCTACACCAAATCTGGCCAGGACGATCATGGTCCCAGGATCGGTGTAGATGTCTATGCTTCCCTTGCCAGGCCAGGAGGGCGAATACACCGATCCTGGGCTCAGGACGGGCCCGGCCAGGATCGTCGCAGGTGAAATGCACAACGCCCTCCTACACAATGTCTTTTATCCGCGTTGTGGTCGGACGTCGACGTGGCCCGCCTGCAGGCCTTGGCGCTGGCGCCTCCGAGCTCGCTTCTGGTGGCGCAGGCGACCTCCGAGCGTCGGGCTGGGCCAGGGCAGCCGCTGCTTGCGACACTCGTGCTGTGCGCGTGCGGGAGTGCGGCAGATTCGAGCCACCCCAACGCCGCGGCTACGCCGTCGGGGGTCTTCCGTTTTGAAAATCATCCAGGGACCCAATCCGGGCCCAGGGACACGGAAAACTATTCACGGCGCGAAATCGACATTAGCTATAGGGTTGATAGTCTTCTGGGACCTTGGGGCGCGGAGATTGTTCAATCTTGAACGGGTTCGCCTGGTGTCAAAGACCCGAGCCCGCGGGGTCAAGGCGGGAACGCGCGATATGCAGCCAACATCGAGCAGAATGCAGGCGGCAAGCACATACGCATGCAAGCGCAGTTTGTGGCGTATTTGCAGTGCGTGGCGGCATGCCTAGTTTGTCGCATGACAATGTCGGCCTCATCGCGTAGCTGAAGTCACTACGTGCGGGCAGTGCGAGTTCATGTGGCCGTCGCACACGGTACGTACGTGTATGGACGTCGCTTGATAGGCTGAGGTGTATGGACCGTCCCGAGCTTTGATCATAAGTTATATAACCAGTGGTTCAAAGATGGGGTGCTGAGGGATGGGGTCGCAAGGGTAGGAAGGGGATCCAAGGGTGGGTTTACACTGTTCGAGGCACCTCGTCCTTACCAGGACCCCATCCTTCAGGACCCCATCTTTGAACCACCGATATATGGGTTTTGGCGGTCGAGATCTCTGTTCCATGCGCTTGCTACATGTCTACTGTCTCGAGCAGAGGACGGTTTCCTGTATTGACGGTCATTGGGTGTATGCTCGCGTTCGATGCATGCTGTATTCTCTTGGGTGCGTTTGGTCATGTTTGCCAGAGTTGGAGGCATGCACCATGATGACCAAGCGTGTATTTCTACGTCCACTGCAAGGAGGGGAATGTTTGGGACGCATGTTTGGCTATGTGTACAGCGTGGCCCCACCACGCTCCCGATGCCTCTGGACAAGTCACGCGGAGATCTCAGCAGCGCCCAGGAGCGTCCGGGACAGCTTGGAATCCTTGGTTTGGGCTCGACGGGATTTGGGGACACTCCATTCCATCCCTGCGATACGGTGTCACGAGAAGTATTGCCGCTGGTGCCCCGCAAGACGCTAGACTCTAGACACCTCCTCGCTCTTCCCTTCTCCATCCAGGAGTCGCTCTGTCTCCCGCGTCCATCCTCGGCCCTATTTCTTTCGTCTTCGAGCCGCGATTGTAGCCGATCAGGCATTTAGCTACGGTCCCGTCGTGTGCCCTGCCGCTGTGTGCCAACATCCACTATGGATAGTTGGCGCCGCCACTATTGACCTTACACTGGCTCAAGCAATTTGCTCATACAGGATCAAAAGGTCCGCACGCAAGCGCGCCCTCCCCCTGCCCAGGCCGGGCACCCCCGTCTCACCAACCCTAGCACATCCGCTCAACGACATCGGGATTGAGTGCCTGATCGACGTCATTTGCCTCGTGGAGGAGAAGGCGTCCTGGCCCGCCTTCCTGACCAAGATGGTCTTCCTGCCCAAGCGGGAGGGCGGGGTGAGGCCGATCGCGCTCGTCGCCGCGTTGGCCCGCATTCACGCCCTCTCGAGGCGGCCGCTTGCCCGGGCGTGGGAGCAGGCCAACGAGCGGCCGTACTGGTGGGCCACATCGGGACGCTCGTGCGAGCGGGCGGTGTGGCAACAGGCCGCATGGGCCGAGTGGGCCGCTGGGCGTTTCCGCTCGAGGAGAGGGAAGCCGCCACGCTGTTCCTCGACCTCTGGAAGGCACACGAGCAGGTGCTTCACCCTCGCCTTCTGCAGGCAGCGGTGCGGTACAAGTAATCGCTCTGGCTACTGAAGCTGTCCGTCGAGATGTACAGGCTTCCGCGGGCGCTGGTCCTGGCGGGCGCCACGTCGGAGGCCATCTCGGTGGAGCAGACGATCTTGGCAGGGTGCGGGTTCGCGGCCACGCTCTTGAAGCTTCAGCTTCTCGAGCCCTTCGACAGGATGCGCGTGGCGGCCAGGAGCCTCGAGGCCGCCGTCGTGGTCGACGACGTGGTGCTGTCTCGCCGCGGCGGCTGGCGCGCAATCTCGCATGAGATCGCCAAGGGTGCCTGGTTGCTCCAGCGTGGCCTCCAGGATGTCGGGTTGCAAATCGCCCTCATGAAGTCCCAGGTGGTGGCTTCGTCGGCGGACCTCAGGGCGGAGCATCAGAAGCAGCTGCAGTGCGTCGGCGCGCAGGCAATGCAGCACGTGCGGAATCTCGGAGTCGATTGCGGCTGCGGGATGAAGCGGCAGCGAGGCGTGCTTAAGGATAGGCTCAAGCGCGCCCGCGCCCGAGTGCCAAGGTTACGTCGGATTCTGGGCACGGCCAGCCGCCGCCGGGCGGCGGCGAAGGTCGTCAAGTGCGGCGTCGAAGCCAGCTGTACGCACGGCGTGTGCGTGACCGGCGCCACCAACCAGGAGTTGGATTCGCTGCGCAGCATTGCCTTCGACGCGACGGAACCCAGAGCCGGCGGAAAGTCCAAGACCATGGGCTTTGCGCTGACGGGCGGCTGCGACTTCGATCCCATCCATAGGTGTAATTAGCAGGGACGTGGCTGTCACCTTGCACCGCGCGCTCTGGGAAGGGTGGTTGCCAGAGCAGGTCTTGCATGCCCGCTTCGCGGCTGAACTGGCGCGGGTCCACACGTGGGTCCAGGTGCGCAGGCCCTTGGCAGCGCATGACGCTGAAGCGGCTAGACTGGGAGATGGAAGGCCTAGGCTGTTGGACAACCCCAGCCGACCATGAATACTGCCCGCTGCAGTACGCGCCATGGACGACGAGGACGAGGAAACTCGTGGCGCAGTCCGTGGAGCGCTGGCAGTCGTCGAAGGTGCTCGAGCAGGCTGGGTTGCCGCAGGGCGTCCTGCCCCTCCGGCAGCTCCGCAGATGGACGAGCGTCGGGAAGGGGTCGGCGGCTGATGCCAAGCGATGGCCACCGCTCACCGACGAGGAGAAGGGCTACGTGCGGTCAGTCCTGGTGGATGGTCAGTGGCTCAATGAGCGCAGGCACGCGGCGCGGCCTTGCCTCGCGCGGAGCCCCCTGTGCTCGAGGTGCGGGGCCGCGCCTGGTACGCCCCGGCACCAGCACGTCGAGTGCAGCGACGGCTGGGGGGGCCTCGACCTACCCGCGGCCATGGCGGGACTGAAGGCGCACGGCGACAGCGACGCGGTTCGGGCGCTGGCGGGCAGGCTGCTCCTGGCCGAGCCGCGGCACCATTGGGCGCCCAGCTGCGGAGACGTCCTGTGCGATGTTCGATGGCTGGTAGGCGGCGGCGACCCGTTCCTGGGCGGCGAGGTGTTCGTGGACGGCTCCGCCTTCGACGCGGAGGCAGCCGACCTGGCCGCGGCAGGTTGCGCAGTCATCGCTTTGGCTTTGCCGCCGGGGCCGGAGTGGGCTGGGCTGCAGGGCCTGATCCAGGACGTGGACGGGGGCAAGCTGCTATCCTGCTGGCGTTGCGGCGCTCGATGCCGCTATTGGCGGTCCACTGGCGACTCGGCCAACGTCGTCAAAGGGCTCTACGAGCGGGGGCCGGCGGCGACCCAGCGCGGCCAGCAGCTGGGCGCATATATAGAAGAGGGTCTGGGCTGCCATCGCCGATTTCGGTGGCTTGGGCCCTGAAGGGCTGACAGTCCTCAAGATCATCGCGCACGCGACGGCGCGGGGCGTCGAGAGCGGGCGGATGTCTCCCGCTGCGCCGAGGCGCGCGTGGCGGAGCTGCGCGCCCCCCCGGCCTTGCGGGCCCGCTGGGGGCGGCATCGCCTTGCCCTCGACGGCGTGGTCTTCTGGGTCGCCGGCGCTGGTTGCGCAGCGGCCCGCAGCCGGCGTGACGTGCAGGAGGGCGTCAGGCTGGAGGTGCCGCCCAGGGTAATCCTGACCGTGACGCAGCACGACGTCGCGCAGCGCGCAGGGCAAGTGAGTTACTTGCGATGCTGCCGCTCCAGCTCCCTCGACAGCGCGGCTGCGTTCTGGAGTTCCCATTGCAACGCGCGGCCGGGGGCTTCGGTGCGTGGCGGCGCGGCCCCACCAGAGGGCCGCGCCTCGTCTGCCGCTGCGGCGCTGGCCCTGGCAGCTGCGGCGGCAGCGGCCGGGGGTGACCTCGAGCTTTTCGACGTGTTCGGAGTCGGCGAAGCTGCCGTTGACGACCGGGGGCGCGCCATCAGGATAGCCTTCGGATATTGTTCGTGCGTGAAGTGCGGAGGTTTCTCCAGAGTTGAGCAGGGGCGATGCAATCTCCCTGGGGCCGGGTGCACGGGGCGATTCGGCAGCAGGGGCGCGACGGGTCGTCTAGAGGCCGCTGGCCGCGCACGTGCGCGCAGGACCACGGGGATCCTGGAGTTGCGCTATATATATATATACACATATACATATATATATATATATATATATATATATAATATATATATATATATATATATATATATATATATATATATATATATATAGGGCCCCTGGGCGGTGCCTGTCATCTCCATGGGGTGTGCAGGGCGCCCCCGGGAGCGTCCGAAGCGTCCCGGAGGGCCCCTGGGACCGCCAGGAACAGTTCGAGACCGCCCGAGACGGCCCGCGAGCGCTCCAAGACGCGCATAGATAGCCTCAGGAGTGGCCTGGAAGGCCCGAAGACGTTCCAAGAGAGCTCCATGAGGCCCCGAAGGCATCCCAAGAGGCCTCCCAGGAGAGCCCCGACAAGCCAACATCGTTGATTTGTATCGTGTTTTTGGAGACTTTTGGCTTTCTCGTTTTTTTCGGGGCTCCGACGCTCCAAGACCGTCCAAAAGTTTCCCAAAACCGCTCCAAGACGGCCGAAGAAGCCCCCAAGACCGCCCCAAGACGGCCCAAGAGACCCCCCAAATCGTCCCAAGACGGCCCAGGAGAGCCCCAAGATGGCCCAGGAACCGCCCAAGACGGTTCCAGGAGAGCCCCGACAGGGCTTCAAGATTGCCTAAACGAGCCCAGCGGTCCCCAAGAGGGCCCCGCCAGGCCCCAAGAGGCCCCGAAGAGGCCCCCAAGAGCCTCCCCGGAGGCCCCCAGAGGCCCCAAGAGGCCCAAACATTGCCCTGAGCGCGCCCCAAGACGCCTCCAGGAGAGCCCAACAGGCTTCCGAGAGGCCCCCAAGAGGCCCACTGGAGGCCCTCAGGAGGTCGTCCCCATCATGTTCCCGGAAGGCGGTCCGGGAACATGATTCCGCTCCTTGGAGGAGATTTCTGCGCTTTCCGAGGCGCCTTCCGAGGCGCCTTGGACGACGTACGTATGTTTCTATCGATTGTCCTCCTCCTGCGTGCACAATCCTACATGTCTTGCGTATGTTTATATATATAAAGAGGCCCACTGGAGGCCCTCAGGAGGTCGTCCCCATCATGTTCCCGGAAGGCGGTCCGGGACCATGATTCCGCGCCTTGGAGGAGTATTCTGTGCTTTCCGAGGCGCCTTTCCGAGGCGCCCTGGACGACGTACGTATGTTTCTATCGATTGTCCTTCTCTTGTGTACACACTCCTACATGTCTTACGTATGGGCCTCTCTCTCTCTGTCTCTGTCTCTGTCTCTCTCTCTCTCTCTCTCTCTCTCTCTCTCTCTCTCTCTCTCTCTCTCTCTATATATGTATATATATACATACGCACACACATTTATACATATATATATACACATATATATATATATACACAACAATTGCCCTGAGCGCGCCCCAAGACGCCTCCAGGAGAGCCCCACAGGCCTCCGAGAGGCCCCCAAGAGGCCCACTGGAGGCCCTCAGGAGGTCGTCCCCATCATGTTCCCGGAAGGCGGTCCGGGAACATGATTCCGCTCCTTGGAGGGTATTTCTGCGCTTTCCGAGGCGCCTTCCGAGGCGCCTTGGACGACGTACGTATGTTTCTATCGATTGTCCTCCTCCTGTGTACACAATCCTACATGTCTTGCGTATGTCTCTATATACACATATATATATACTTATATATATATATATATAGAAGAAAGAGGCCCACTGGAGGCCCTCAGGAGGTCGTTCCCATCATGTTCCTGGAAGGCGGTCCGGGAACATGATTCCGCTCCTTGGAGGGTATTTCTGCGCTTTCCGAGGCGCCTTCCGAGGCGCCTTGGACGACATACGTATGTTTCTATCGATTGTCCTCCTCCTGTGTACACAATCCTAGATGTCTTGCGTATGTCTCTATATACACATATATATATATATATATACTTTTATATATATAGGAGAAAGAGGCCCACTGGAGGCCCTCAGGAGGTCGTTCCCATCATGTTCCTGGAAGGCGGTCCGGGAACATGATTCCGCGCCTTGGAGGAGTATTCTGTGCTTTCCGAGGCGCCTTCCGAGGCGCCCTGGACGACGTACGTATGTTTCTATAGATTGTCCTTCTCTTGTGTAGACAGTCCTACATGTCTTACGTATGGGCCTCTCTTTTTTTCTCTCTCTCTCTCTCTCTCTCTCTCTCTCTCTATATATATATATATACATACGCACACACATTTATGCATATACATATGTATGTATGTATGTATGTATGTATGTATGTATGTATGTATGTGTATATATATACACACATATATATACCCCTCCCCGAAGCCCTCCCGAGTCGTGCCACTTCCTTCCACGCATTTCAAACTCTTCCCCATATATAGAGTATAGAGGCCCCCAAGATGCCCAACAATGGCCCTGAGCGCGCCCCAAGACGCCTCCAGGAGAGCCACACAGGCCTCCGAGAGGCCCCCAAGAGGCCCACTGGAGGCCCTCAGAAGGTCGTCCCCATCATGTTCCCGGAAGGCGGTCCGGGAACATGATTCCGCGCCTTGGAGGAGTTTTCTGCGCTTTCCGAGGCGCCTTCCGAGGCGCCTTGGACGACGTACCTATGTTTATATAGATTGTCCTTCTCCTGTGTACACAGTCCTACATGTCTTACGTATGGGTCTATACATATATACATATATAATGTGTATATATATATATATATACAGGCCTCCGAGAGGCCCCCAAGAGGCCCACTGGAGGCCCTCAGAAGGTCGTCCCCGTCATGTTCCCGGAAGGCGGTCCGGGAACATGATTCCGCGCCTTGGAGGAGTATTCTGCGCTTTCCGAGGCGCCTTCCGAGGCGCCTTGGACGACGTACTACGTTTCTATAGATTGTCCTTCTCCTGTGTACACAATCCTACATGCCTTACGTATGGGCTTTTCTCTTTACATATATATATATACACATACATACATACATACATACATACATACATACATACATACATACATACATACATACACAAATACATACATACATACATACATACATACATACATACATACACACATATATATATATATATGTGTATATATATACACACGTATATACCCCTCCCCCAAGCCCTCCCAAGTCGTGCCACTTCCTTCCACGTATTTCAAATTCTTCCCCATATATAGAGGCCCCCAAGATGCCCAACAATGGCCCTGAGCGCGCCCCAAGACGCCTCAAGAAGAGCCCCACAGGCCTTCGAGAGGCCCCCAAGAGGGCCACGGGAGGCCCTCAGAAGGTTGTCCCCATCATGTTCCCGGAAGGCGGTCCGGGAACATGATTCCGCGCCTTGGAGGAGTATTCTGCGCTTTCCGAGGCGCCTTCCGAGGCGTCTTCGACGACGTACCTGTGTTTATATAGATTGTCCTTCTCCTGTGTACACAGTCCTACATGGCTTACGTATGGGTCTATATTTATGATGTATATATACATATACATACACACATATTTATATATACACATATGTATATATATATATATATATACACATACCCCTCCCCCAAGCCCTCCCGAGTCGTGCCACTTCCTTCCACGTATTTCAAATTCTTCCCCATATATAGAGTCCCCCAAGATGCCCAACAATGGCCCTGAGCGAACCCCAAGACGCCTCCAGGGGAGCCCAACAGGCCTCCGAGAGGCCCCCAAGAGGCCCCCTGGAGGCCCTCAGAAGGTTGTCCCCATCATGTTCCCGGAAGACGGTCCGGGAACATGATTCCGCGCCTTGGAGGAGTATTCTGCGCTTTCCGAGGCGCCTTCCGAGGCGTCTTCGACGACGTACCTATGTTTATATCGATTGTCCTTCTCCTGTGTACACACTCCTATATGTCTTACGCCTGGGCCCCTGGGCGGTGCCTGTCATCTCCATGGGGTGTGCAGGGCGCCCCTGGGAGCGTCCGAAGCGTCCTGGAGGGCCCCTGGGACCGCCAGGAACAGTTCGAGACCGCCCAAGACGGCCCGCGAGCGCTCCAAGACGCGCACAGATAGCCTCAGGAATGGCCAGGAAGGCCCGAAGACGTTCCAAGAGAGCTCCGTGAGGCCCCGAAGGCATCCCAAGAGGCCTCCCAAGAGAGCCCCGACAAGCCAACATCGTTGATTTTTATTGTTTTTGTTCTAGGTTTTTGGCCTTCTCGCTTTTTCGGGGTTCCGACGCTCCAAGGCCGTCCAAGAGTCTCCCAAAACCGCTCCAAGACGGCCGAAGAGGCCCCCAAGACCGCCCCAAGACGGCCCAAGAGACCCCCAAAATCGTCCCAAGACGGCCCAGGAGAGCCCCAAGATGGCCCAGGAGCCGCCCAAGACGGTTCCAGGAGTGCCCCGACAGGGCTTCAAGACTGCCTAGGCGAGCCCAGCGGTCCCCAAGAGGGCCCCGCGAGGCCCCAAGAGGCCCCGAAGAGGCCCCCAAGAGCCTCCCCGGAGGCCCCCAGAGGCCCCCAAGATGCTCCAAAATGGCCCTGAGCGCGCCCCAAGACGCCTCCAGGAGAGCCCCACAGGCCTCCGAGAGGCCCCAAAGAGGCCCACTGGAGGCCCTCAGGAGGTCGTCCCCATCATGTTCCCGGAAGGCGGTCCGGGAACATGATTTCGCGCCTTGGAGGAGTAATCTGCGCCTTCCGAGGCGCCTTGGACGACGTACGATTCATATTCTTGAACGCTTTCCGGGAACATGATTTCTCACCGTTTCGAAACGCTTTCCTGCTGCTGCGGTGCTCTGGGGGGAAGGGACGGGGGTCCGGGAACATGATCGGGAGGTTAGGGAACGAGGGTTTGGAGAGGAGCAGTAGGACAGACGGACGGGGCCAGGGGGCGGGGGAGGGGTGGTGCCACCGGTTGGCATGGCCGCCCCGGGCGTCCTGTGGGGTCCACGAACCCGCCC